TATAGTTTCCCTGTTGTCAATTTCATTTAGTTCTGATTTGATCTTATTAATTTCCCTTCTTCTGCTGGGTTTGGGGTCGGTCTGTTCTTCTTTTTCCCGTTCTTTGAGTCGATTCATTAGGTTGTCTGTTTGTGCTCTTTTTGACTTTTGGATACAGGCATTTATGGAAATAAACTTTCCTCTCAGGACTGCTTTAGCTGTGTGCCACAGATTTTGATAACTTGTGTCACCTTTGTCATTTAGTTCAAAGAATCTTTTGATTTCCATCTTTACTTCCTCATTTATGAAGGAATCGTTCAGTAGAAGGTTGTTTAATTTCCATGACATATATAATCTTTACTACTTATGAAGTTGAATATTTTAAGAGAAATTTACTGGTTGCATTTTTATAATTGTTTTATCTATATGTTTGCTAATTTTCTTATCTGGTGTCTAATATTTGCTTTATCAAGTTTTCCAAGTTGTTCATCTGATACAAATAACAATTTTTATCATTTATTACAAATAGTATTAGTTTTTCTCTAATACTGGAAACAGTTCATAGATACCCTTTCATTACCATCTTCCAAGGCCTCATAGAACTAGAAAGGTCTCCTTTAACTCTAGCTTCTATACATGGAAATATGGACCATAGGACTTTAAATCACCAGCTTGATTTTCCCTGGAATATACACTTAAAAAATACGTTGCAAGGCCAGGCATGGAGGGTCACGACTGTAATACTAGCACTCTGGGACGCCAAGCCTGGAGGATCAACTTGAGTTCAGGAATTCAAGACCAGCTTGAGCAACAGCAAGACCCGGTCTCTACTAAAAATAGAAAAAATTAGCCAGGCATGGTGGTGCACACCTATAGTCTGGCCTACTCGGGAGACTGAGGTAGGAGGATCAGTGAGGCCCAGGAGTTGGAGGCTGCAGTGAGCTATGATGATGTCACTGCACTCCAGCCGGGGTAACAGAGTGAGACTCTGTCTCCAAATAATAAAACCAAAAAAACCCCCCAAACACAAAAAAACATTGAAGTCCTACCTTAAAGTAATCATTCTTTTTCAGACTTTCAAGGAAGCTGGCCCAGAGTGGTGAGGTAGTCAGAAGGGATTTCTTGGAGTCAGAAAAATGTGGGCCACATTTGGAACATAAGATCTCAAATCCATGAGCCTAGATGAGATAAGTAGAATTTTTATTAAGTTGCTTTCTTCAGTATTATTTTATTATGTTATTTTCTTTTCATTTAGTTACACTCAAGAACTAGCTGACTGGACAAATGGGCATGTGGACCTTTAGAACACTTTTTGAATTTTATGAAAATTATGATTTATTTTCAAGTTTTTCAATCTCTACAGCATACTAAAAATCATAAAAGGAAAGAAAAGATTCTATTCAAAGAGGTACTTTTTATTGCTGATTATAAAACCAGAAACTTAAATTTATTTCTTGTTTGATTATGAAAAGGTTTACAAAAGTATTCTTGTCTAACAAAAAATATAAATAAATTGAGCGTGGTCTCAGACATAGTAAAGAGAGGGAATTATTTCATTTTAAGAGTTCTTTGATTAAAAATATAATGATACACATTGAAAAATGATTCAAACAGGGAGCTTCCCTGATCACTCCAGAGGAGACTGCTACCAATTTCTTGCACATCCTTTTAGAAATAATCTATGCACTCAAGCAGACATGTGTGTCTGTGTACATATAGCTTCCTACTCCACCGCTTTTGTCATTCAATGGCAGCATACACACTGTGCTTTTCACACTTAATCATATACCTTGGAGATCATTTCATATGAGCACATACAAATTTAACCATTTCACTTCATGGATAGACCGTAATTTATCTAAGTATTGCCCCTACTGGACATTTAAGTAGTTTCCATTCTTTTGCTACTGTTAACAGTGCTGTCATAAGTATGCTTGTATGTACGTCTTTGAGCACATGTAAAATATGGAGAGAATGGATCTCTAGAAGTCAAAGTGCCGAGCAGAAGGGTTGAGAATTTTAAATGTTGATGGATACAGACAGTTCCTGACTTATGATGGTTCAATGTAATGATTTTTCAACTTTACCATGGTGCAAAAGCAATATGCATTCAGCACCTTGCTTCAAATTTTGATCTGTCCTGGGCTGGTGATATGCAGTATGATATTCTCTTGTGATTCTGGGCAGTGGCAGCAAGCCGCCGTTCCCAGTCAGCCACACGATCATGTAGAATACAACCAATATTGTACTTTACAGTGTATTCAATAAATAACACGAGATGTTCAACACTTTATACATTTTCACCAACTCAGTATATATTATCAAACTTTTTGATTTTTGCCAATTTAACGGTGAAAAACACTATTTTGTAGCTTTACATTGCATCTTTTATTATGAGCAAGGGTCAACATTTTTCATACGTTTAAATTAAAGGTCATTTGTAGTTTATTGTCTATGGACCATCTGCTCTTAGTTTCTGAACATTTTAAATTAATTGGTTAACGTTATCTTTTTCACATTGACTTAAAGGAACACTTTCTATATTAGCTTTATAGTTAATATATATTAGCTTTCATATAATATATATTAGCTTTTATAGCTTCTGGTTTCAAGTCATGCTTAGAAAGGCTTTTCCTACTTAGATTATAGAAAGTTCTCAAGTTCTCCTATTTTTTTTTTTCAAATTTTATAGTTTCAATTTTTACATGTAAATATTTGATCCAACTGGAATTTATATTGGTCTAGGTGTGAGGGAATCAACTTTAATTTTTAGGATGGCATCACAGTTGTCCTATTATCATTTACTGAATAATTCATTTTTTCCTCTAATTTGAAATGCCACATTTTACTACATTCTCACATAAATAGGGTACATTTCTACACTTTCTGTGCTGCGCCGTTATTCTGCTAAGAGTCCTTTTACATAAAGAAAGAAAATGAAATTTTCTGCTCAACATTACCAGCTTCATGCCCAATTCGTGGGCTCGATACTGGGGATGAGATGGTGGAGGAAGCCTGTATCCACTTCGCCGGTCTGGCACAAACCTTTGTTGCACCAACTGTGCATACAGACATTTAGTGAAAGTCACCTAGGCATACAGACACAAAATACATCACATTAAAATTTTGAATATCATTTCATAGTTAAATATAATAATAAGTCCACTTATGAGCTTCATATTCATATGAAATGTAAAGAAGATCCAACCCATTCACTGTCTACTTGTTTTCAGTAACAGCTTTATTGAAATATAACTCACACACCATAAAATTTACCCTACTGCTTACTTTTTAGTTATCACTCCTGGAATTCTTATCATTAGTTACATTCATTATATGGCAGTTTGGGTGATAGAAGATAAGGAATAATTTTTTAAAATTTTAGATGGGGTTTTGCTATATTGCCCAGGCTGGTCTTGAATTCCTGGGCTCAAGAGATCCTCCTCCCTCCCGAGTAGCTGCGATTACAGGTTCAAGCCCCCACACCTAATTCTTAATTCTCTGGAAGAGAGGAAATGTTTTATTGTTAAGAAAGAAATAATTTGCTGGGCACGGTGGCTCATGCCTGTAATCCTAGCACTCTGGGAGGTTGGGGTGGGAGAACCGCTTGAGGTCAGGAGTTCAAGGCCAGCCTGAGCAAGAGCAAGATCCCATCTCTATAAAAAATAGAAAAATTAGCTGGGCATGGTGGCACACACCTGTAGTCCCAGTTACTCAGAAGTCTGAGGCAGAAGCAAAGCTTGAGCTCAGGAGTTTAAGGTTGCACTGAGCTCTCATGATGCCACTGCACTCTAGGCAGGGCAACAGAATAAGACCCTGTCTAAAAAAAAAAAAAAAAAAAAAAAAAAATCCAAAATTTTCCAAAATCAGAAATCAGTGCCAAGAGGAGCTCAGAAATGCTCATTGAGATTTTCAGGATTTCAGGTATTCAGATTTGGGATGCTCAACAAGTATCATGCAAATATTCTAAAATCCAAAAAAATATGAAATCTGAAATACTTCTGGTCCCAAGCATTTCAGATAAAGGATAATCAACCTGTATTAACATGCTATAAGGAAACTGAATATTTCCAACTTTTTCTAGAGAACAATTAAAATAATGTCTGAACTCCCTTTCTAGAGAAAGAAACTAAATGACCAAGAGAGATATCTTACCGATGTCATTATTCGTGTTTCAGGCAAGAATGTCTTGAAAATGCGACAGGATCGAAGCGCGATGGGGTCTCGTAGGTAAAACGCCTGGACTGCTGCAGCCACCAATCTAGGGCGATGCTTTAGCACTGCTACAATGCCAGCTGGAAGGAAGCAGTGTGCTCGATGAAGGGAGGCCTGAATTTTTTCTGGGTACCTATGACAGTTAACATAATTACTTTTATAGTACGTAAATATCTAGAATTCTTTTTATTCTTTTTAAAAAATATTTTTTCTGTGGAATTTTGTAGAGAAGTATCTAGAATTCTTATACCATTCACTTCCCCTTTAACATTTTGTCTTGGTTCATCAAGAGCAAGATGTAGAGTGACAAGAGAGATGAGAAAAGATACTATATACACTTGAGACTGCAGAGAAGACGGGAGGGAAAAAGAGAAAGTGGGAAGAAATGAAAAATAAAAGGGATTAATGTAGCTCAATAAAAACAAAACAAAAAACCCATTATATTTTGGAATAAAGATAAAATCAGTTTATTCTGAAAAAAATGGTACAAAGTGTACTGAAACAAAGCTAAAAGAGATTTTTAATATTTTTAAGACCTGAATGGTGCTACACATTAACAGGTACTCGTATTTGAATGGCTAACTAATACGTTAGTAGGCTAAGACCTTTTCTTCTGAATAAAACCTAAAGTGTTCCACATAGATCAAAGAGTACTATGTATATAGCCCCAGAACCACAGAAAAAACCTGAGCACATTGTGTTCCCTTAGGTTTCACTTTTAAAGGTATCATATTTTTTTATTCATGGATATAGATAATACTTAGCCACAATATGTAAGGTAAACAAATGCAAAAATATTGATACTGGATTATAACACTTTTGAATTGGAATTAAAAGCTATGTTTCTTGATTTTAAAATCCATAAATTTATTAGTAATTTTGATGCAGACAAAATGAAAATTAGCATTAATCTAGGTGCAAGACATTTTATAATCAATGAAAGACAAGTTGCACTAAACCAAAAGGCTCCTCAACTAGCAATGAAAGTGATATTTTTATTACCCTCTGATGCGCCTATTCACAGCAGCTCGTATAGATTCTGAAGCCAGAATTTTTTCTGGGTATGTTGAGATTATGTTCAATGCTTGTGAGATTGTTGGGGGTGTGGCAGGTAACCAAGACACTGCTCCAGGTTTCCTTGGTGCAGGGATAATGCACAACTCCCCATGGTGGAAAAACACCTGCAAATGGTACATTTTAATTTTCACTGTGATCACTGGCAAACTCTAGTACATATAAAAATAATGCAGCATGATTTCATCTCTGTAAATTTTCTAAACTTGGGTATACTTACCCTGTTGGTGCTATTATCAGGATCTAACCATTTAGGGAGAAAGTCAGCAGCTTCTATTAACAAGAATTCACCATCATTGTCTTCAATCCTAATGTAAGAAAAGTTCCAATTTTGCATTTAACAAGCATATATTTGCTAGTAATCAAAAGAGTTTTATTCTAATACATTTTCCCCTTCATCTTAGTACATATTTGCGTATGTACTATGTGCAGATGGCTTTAAAAAAGCAAAATAATTGAGATACCATTAAGCACTGAAGGAGACTATAAGATTGTATGCAGGAGTTGAAGAGAGATGATAAGGAGAGAAAATAAGAAATGCACGTAAATAAATAATATTAGACCAAAATAAGAAAATATACAAAATACTATAGGAGTCTAAAAGAAAAAAAATCATATATAGTCAAGATTAGGAAAGCCTTTATGCAGGAGATGTTACTGGGTCTCGAAAGATAATTATTTTTGCCTCAATTGCATCACTTTCTTTAAATTTTTGAATACATAATATATTCACATGGTTAAAATTTTTAAAAAATACATAAAATGTTACAGATGAAAAAGTCTTCCTCCTGCTTTTGTTCCTATCTGCCCAATTCCTATCCCCTTCACTGCTGTTTCTTATATATCCTTCTAGAACTTGCTTACACATAATCTAGCTAATAGGAAAATATATTCTTATTTTCTCCCTTTTTTAACACAAAAGGTAGCATATTCTATATACCGTTATATACCATCTAGCTCAGTACTTTTAACGGGTAGTGTCTACAAGGAGAAAGGAGAGATGTTCTTGGGAGGGAATAGCATAAGCAAAACCATGGAGGTAGCAACTTAAGGTGGCTATTTAGAGGATGATACCTAGTAAAGAACAAGACTAAAAAGGCACAGTTACATCATTTTGCGAAGAGCATCAAGTGTTGGCAGAATCAATGAGAATATGCTTAGTTTCACAGGCAAAGAAAAGGAATTAAAGGTTTTAGAGCAGGGTAGTAAAATGGTTAGAGCTCTGCTTCAGGAAGATTAATCTAATCTAATCTGGTAGGGTTATAGGAGAAATGCTTCTGTCTTTTTTGAATATTTAAAAAAAAAACCTGACAAGGCAGCAGATGCCTAGGATTTAAAGAGCTTTATAGACATGGTGTGTAACTATGAACCATCATTTTATGAATATCAGAATCTACACACAAAAGGTATTGCCCTCTCCTTATTATCCCTATAAAGATCTAAACCAATTATTTTTATGTGTGTTCATTTAAAAATCTATCATTTATTGAAACATTATTGCTAATTATTTTTATGTGTGGTAATAGTATTTAAAATAAGATTTCCTTATTGTATAATATAGTTAATAACAATGTACTATATTCTTGAAAATTGCTGAGAGTAGATTTTAAATATTCTCATCACGCACAAAAATATAAGTACATGAAGTAGTGCGTGTTATGAGTTCGATTTAGGCATTCTACAATGTATACATATTTCAAAACAACATGTTATACATGAGAAATATATACAATTTTTATTTGTCAATTAAAAAATAAACAGGGTGCAGTGGCTTGTGCCTGTAGTCCCAGCTACTTGGGTGGCTAGGACAGGAGGAT